AAAAAAAATATCCTTCATCTTTTAGTCTTTCTTTCTCCGTATGACGATAAACTCCATCCGGTAGCAAAGCCTGTGGTCGGGAGATTGTAGGATTTCAGGAGCATATAACTACCTCTTAATTGATGTTGCTTCAAGGTCCACCTAGACACGGCGTGGTAGCACCTGTTAAGGTCCTACCTATAGGCAAATAGTGAAACCCCATTGAAATATCAAAACACTAAGTATAAAAATACATTTTTAGTAAAAATACCAGTAATATATATAAAAATACCAACGATACTTTTTTTTTAGTGAAGATACCAGCAATACATTCTTATAAAAAAAGAATTACTAAGAATTTATTTTTATATTAGAATTAATAACAAAACATTTTTGTTGTAAAATTAACAACAATAAATTTTATAGTAAAATTACTAGGAGAATATTTTTATAACAAAAACAATAAATTTTATAGTAAAATTACTAGGAGCACGTTTTTATAGCAAAAACAATAAATTTTATAGTAAAATTACTAGGAGCACGTTTTTATAGCAAAAACAATAAATTTTATAGTAAAATTACTAGGAGCACGTTTTTATAGCAAAAACAATAAATTTTATAGTAAAATTACTAGGAGAATATTTTTATAGCAAAAACAATAAATTTTATAGTAAAATTACTAGGAGCACGTTTTTATAGCAAAAACAATAAATTTTATAGTAAAATTACTAGGAGAATATTTTTATAGCAAAAACAATAAATTTTATAGTAAAATTACTAGGAGCACGTTTTTATAGCAAAAACAATAAATTTTATAGTAAAATTACTAGGAGAATATTTTTATAGCAAAAACAATAAATTTTATAGTAAAATTACTAGGAGAATATTTTTATAACAAAAACAATAAATTTTATAGTAAAATTACCAGGAGCACGTTTTTATAGCAAAAACAATAAATTTTATAGTAAAATTACTAGGAGTACGTTTTTATAACAAAAACAATAAATTTTATAGTAAAATTACTAGGACCACGTTTTTATAGCAAAAACAATAAATTTTATAGTAAAATGACCTACAATACATTTTATCTGTCTATATTTCTGAAATGAGTTATTGTCATTATTTACATTGTTCGGAATATTACCATACTGACGACATTTCGGCCGTTGTATGATCCGGCATTCTTCAGATGATTGAACCCTTTATTTCGTCCACCGGGGTAGGTTGTCCGAGTTCCACGCCTCTACAGTATGTCTCTCTTATCTCTCTTTACCTCAACTCTCCAAGTTTTTGTAGACCACAATGAACCATTATTAAAATCACAAAATCACTTGTGTCAAGTCACTGGATTCAATCAACGGTTTTATCCACTGTGTCATGTGTCCTTGAAAACATCACTGTATGAATGTTTGGGACTTATAAACTTAATGTCTCAGTAAGCATATTTTTCCATAGCTCATAGTGAAATGTTATTATTATTGCTTTTCTCTAGCATTTCGTATTACTGGTTGCCATATTGTATATATTTCTATGCTTGTCCGGCTTAGGAGATTTTTGTAGCCTAGCATATGTGCTGATTCCTTCAGTTTTCGTATTTTCCAGTGATTTTCTCTGCCTATTATTTCAATCTCATCCCACATTTTATATTAAAATTGAAAACATGACACACATTGTCAAAAAAGAAAAAAAATATTGCAAAAAAGAAAAAAAAAATTTTCAATGATTAATCCCATTTCTTGTAAGGAGAAACACATTTTCTCTCCTCGTTTGGTTTTGTAGATTATTTGGTAAAAAAAAATGCAGTTAAGTAATTATAATTTAATCATGAAACAATGCCATTCTCTTGGATTATAACGTTTGGATTTTCATCTTTAGATTTCGGCATTAATTAACCTAGATGGGTTGATATGCCACTAAACAACAAAACAGAATTTCTTTCTATCTTTTTTCTTTCTTTCTTGTCTTATATTTGCTGTCTATCTTTCTTTTTATCCTTAATCTGTGAGGAAATTGTCGAGCATTGACAGCCATACAAGAAATTAGATATTTCAAAGCGGTTCAACACGCGTCTTTGTTTCTGAACGAATGTCTTTTTTCTTTTTTTCTTTTTTATCGTTTAGAACTTATCTTTGTTGCTGGGAGGCATTTTTCGTCATTTCTCTACGGTTTTGTGTCTCATTTGCTCTCATCTGTTAAAACACTTACCAGCGAGTTAAATTTATGTCACTGCTAAATTTTGACGTCTCCAATACGTAGCACAGACTGTTGCGCTGACGAGTAAAGGTATTTAACCAAAAACAAAACAGAAAATAAAGCTAAATGGTTTTATGTGTATGTTAAGCACGATCTGTCAATATCCCATGACAGTAAAAGCTGTCAGTATATTAAAAAGAATACAATTACAAAATACTACATTTCCAGTGACAGTAAAACGAAAATCGAATTTAGTTAATGGCTAATAATCAAAGAGCCTAGATTGATAAATATTGCTTCTTGTCCAGGTGCATTCAACTTTTTTTTTTATTAGAATGGTTGCCACAAAGGATGATCTATATTTCGAAATGCTTTCAGAGACTAAATCGTTAGCCATTAAACCACTGATCAGCGACTGATTTTCTTCTCTCAGCTTAAATGGCATATTTTTATCTGGTTAGTCTACGAGTGTTAATAGTAACATATAACCCAATACTACGTGCCGAATGTTGGATAAAAAATAAATAAATAAAAAAAAACAGTTTCCCCACTAGGCTTTTCTATTAATAAGAATAGGTAGACACCAAGCATGGTAAAACCATTTTAAAGGACAGAAGGAACCTTCTTGTAGGGTCACAGGCATTAGTCGACCTCCCAACCGGGTATTTCCATTGACCGCCAGGTACCGCAATCGAGTATTTTGGGCACCAAAGACCTAATATGAGAGCTTCAGACTTCCTGCTTCGGGTTGAGTTTTATGTTGTACCTACCCTTGTCCTTGACTCTTTTTTTTGCCATCGGAATGATCACGAATTGAATTACTGACGTCTTCTAAGATTCTTTTTAATCGTATTTAACCCAAGCAAGGCAGTAAAGTCACTGAAACACAAGGGTTTACAGGGCGTGGAAGAATTAAAAAAAAACTAAGAATCTATTACTAAGCCATGGAAATATAAGAAGAGTAATCAGGAGAGCAGTAGATAGCGATTGACTTTGCATTTATTTTTTTGAAGATTAAGGTTGCTTGGTAAGCATGAACCCGGAAGAAACAAGCGATAAACTGTTGGTATAAGAACATATGGTTACATCAAGCCAACTCAACTGTAAATTGAAGAGACATTGTCGTCAGTCTAGTACTGCATGTGATAAATAATAAAGAGTAATCTCCCCTTGTTTTATTACTCTCCTCTCTGAGAGAGCTATTTCTGTTTACTAGGACTCTAAAAGGACACTATTCTCAGTTGAATAAAACTTTCTTAAATCTACACCTGTGTACTTTTGTCATTGCAATACGCTTAAATTTATAAAGTCTTGCTACCATTATGAACAATTACCATGAAAATACAGGGTGACCCCCAAAAACGGGAATTTTTGAAGTGCGTATTGCCAGACATGAGCAAGTGGCAAAACTGCGAGACAGTGACCTTGAGCAAGTAAACATTTCGCCATTAAGAATTCAAGATGAAATTCACAGTCTCCCAGCTGAGATGTTGCACCAGTCAATGAGAAATCCCAACTGCAGATTTCAAGAATGCATTCGTACTAGAGGACGCCATCTACAGGACTTCGTTTTTAAAAAATTAAAATTCCATCATTGTTTCTTAAATGGCATGGTTTAAGGTTTCAATTACTATGAATAAAATATTTTTCTTCCATCACTCTTGGTTTTATTGTATTGTTAAAAAGTTCCCTTTTTTGGGGGTCACTCTGTATTTAAAGAAAAGGCATAAGGAAGTAATTTAACTGCAGTGCAAAAGTGTCTGAAGCCGAGATGCCAGTGCAGGACCAGTAATATTAATGATTCTTCTTTGCATTTTATCAAGGATCTCTAGATATTTATTTTTAATTATACCAGCGTATGTCTGTTTGCAACTTTTGTCCCGAAAAGTGAAAGACAGAAGGAACCTTCCTGAAGTGTCATGGACCTTCTGGCGTGATAGTGTAGACTGGGCTGCATAGTTTTACATGCCTTCAGTGAGGTGATGACAACGACATCGCTGGACGGTGGGTTTCCGAGACTGAAGTCAACAGTCACTTGTCCGCGACTATGGCGAGCCTTTAAGCTGGAGGATATCGTTTGTAATTGGACTTCGAGATGGATGGGTTCCACAAGTTTTACTTGCACAACTCATGTTACGCATAGGTATATATCTCTCTCCGGATACCAACCCAGATATATGATGGGAAACTGGTCAGGTGAGCAGTTGCGCAGTAAACTGTATAGCAACATCCGGTCATGGAACTTATATTGCTGATTCACTCTTCTTCTTGTTAATTAGTACGTCATTATCGTTTGGCGTCAATCTATTTTTTTACCATAATCTTATCCATGATTTTTCTTTCATTTTTTTTTTTTTGGTGCTTAATATGTTTAAGACGATGAGTTTAACAGGATGAAAGCAAAATAAAATAAAGCTTAGGGATGAGTCTTGTGAATGCGTAAGCTGTCATCTATTTTCAACTATTCAGTATTTCGCGTTTTAAATATTTTTTATTGATATTTTTTTATTGATATTTACGCCTATCATCGAGAATTATAATGATCGTCCGTTTTGATTGAATAAGTATTATTAACTTTGGCATTTTCAGATGTAAAGGAGACTTGCAGATATTTTTTTTTCGCCGACGGCATTGGTTGGATTAAAAACTGACTCTATTCTGGTTTTGTTTATCTATATCTACTTTGTCGATATATTGTCTACTTTAAGGTTTCTTTCCTATCATTTTGGTTTGTTATATATATATATATATATATATATATATATATATATATATATATATATTAGTGCGTAGATAATTCTGCATTTTTATTACACCTTTTTCGGAATATGGAGATTTGTTTTTTACTTTACTTAGACAATGTTTCACTCATTAAAATTTCTTCCTTCCTTCCTTCTTCTCTCCCTTCCTTCTTATCTCCATTCTTTCTTGCGTCTTTCTTATTTCATTCCACCTATTTTTCCTTCCCCTTTCTACTTCTATCCGTCTTTCTCCTCCCGACCCTTGTTCCTTCCTTCTTTAGATTCTTCCTTCCTTTCTTTCTTCACCCGCATTCTTTCTTTCTTTCTTTCTTTTTTCTTTCTTTCTTTCTTTCTTTCTTTCTTTCTTTCTTTCTTTCCCCGTATACTTACTATCTTTCTTTTTTTCATTCTTTCTTTCTTTCCTCCCCTGTATACTTTCTTTCTTTCCTCCCCCGTATACTTTCTTTCTTTCCTCCCCCGTATATTTTCTTTCTTTCTTTCTTTCTTTCTTTCTTTCTTTCTTTCCTGCCCCGTATACTTTCTTTCTTTCTTTCTTTCTTTCTTTCTTTCTTTCTTTCTTTCTTTCTTTCTTCCCCCGTATACTTTCTTTCTTTCTTCCTTTCTTTCTTTGTTTCTTTGTTTCTTTGTTTCTTTCTTTCTTTCTTTCTTTCTTTCTTTCTTTCTTTCTTTCTTTCCCCGTATACTTTCTTTCTTTCTTTCTTTCTTTCTTTCTTTCTTTCTTTCTTTCCCCGTATACTTTCTTTCTTTCTTTCTTTCTTTCTTTGTATACTTTCTTTCTTTCTTTCTTTCTTTCTTTTCATCCGTCTGTCTTTCCTACTTATTCCTTCCTTATTTCTACTTCCGACCTACTTCCTTTATTTTTTCCTGTCTTCCCTCCTCCTGTCTTCTGTTTTGTCTTCTCCCATCGTTCTTCCTAATTCCTTTCTTTCTTTCTTCCTTTCTTTCTTTCTATTCTATCCTTCTTCCTTCTTTCCTTCCGTATTCTTCCAGAAATTTGTCTCTCTCCCGCCTCCCTTCCTTTATTCCTTTATTTCCTCCTCCTTTCCTCCTCCTTTGTTCTTCCTTCCTTCTTTCTGTTCGACCGTCCGTTCATCTTCCTTCCTTTTTTTTTCTTTCCTCTATGAATTCTTTAGAAATAAATGAACATAACACTAAACTATTCATTTTAAGTGAGATCTGTCATACTAATTTATATCCACTGTTTGTATCTTTGTTTTTATTTTATTTTATTTTTTTTCAGTAAATTAGCACATATTACGTTCTTTGAAACCAAAGTTCTGTCGAACAGGAATAAATCTCATGCCACCGACTCAAGTTGATACTGTCCTGATTATAAAAGAAGGGTAGATTCCCTGTTCAGCACACACCGTCTTCGTGTGACTTTTCATGCTCTTATGTTTTGTATATTCGTATTTTTGTGCTGTGATTGAGTGACATACTATGTGCTTTCAAATAGTATCCGAAGTTTGGATATAAAAAAATCAATTTTATATATTTCACAAATTTTATTTAATCACCATCAATGTATTCCCTTTGGTAGTACACTTACTCCTTCCAGAAGTTCTGTCACTGTATTTAACACCTCTGGAACGCTTTATCTAGAAGGCTATGGAGCTCCGCCGTCGCTTTTCTCATAATTTCCTCTCGTGACTCAATTCTCTCCCCTGTCAGCGTGGTGTTCAGATTGGGGAAGAGACAGAAGTCACACAGTGCTCACTCGGGAGAATAGGAATCCTGTTAAACAAGTCGTGTGTTGTTCTTGACCAGGAACACTTGGATTATGTGAATGGAATGAACGGGACAATTTCGCCGAGTCTCTCAGTATGCACAGTTACTCCGTTAAAATTGAGTGCACTGTTACGGTTTTTTGTGTATATTATATAACTAGTGAGCGAGTCAAAATGACTTATTTCCCTTTATAGTCTACCAATAGAAGGTTGACCAATCAGAAGCCGCACAACACTTTATCCGTCGTGTATAAAGGCGGCCATCTTTGTTTTCCTACCGTATTGACCAGAGGCAACTTGTCCGGCGAACATGACAGACGGAAGAACTACGCTCTGCTACTTTGCTACGATATCCACTGCGAATCTGCACTACGCTTTCCTACTGTCTCCGAAATATTCACTGCCAACCTCTGGATTCTATACTCGAAGACGACCGTCATGAAAATGTCTAACATGCACAGATCCTCTGCTTATACTTAATTCATGAGAAATTTCCTGGATTTCTATACAATAGTCTTCCATTCGCCGAACCTACTCAATCAGCCCTACGTTTCGAATTTTGGATTGCCTACGTGAGTGTGCCTCACTCTCCACTGAGGTAACGTCATGTTTGACGCCGTTATCCCACTCCTTACGACCTTGTACATACAGGCTTACAGAAACTGGTATTCCCATCTAGGTAATGAGCAGTTTCTTACGTTAACTGAAGTGCAATTGACCAACAGTTAAATTTAAGATCTGTTAGAAACTGGATCTTGTTGAATACATTTTGCTTCTAATGATCTCTATTTCCAAATATAACTTTGTTAAGAGATGATAATTATTTATTTTCTGATTCGCTAGAAATAAGACATGACTCGTGTGGGTTTAATACATAGCTGCAATATATCCTTTGTCCTTATGATCAGTGCAAAATAATGCCTGTAACGATCCGAATGCATCATACACCCAGGATGGGGAAATAAACCAGGCATTATGGTCGCTGAACAGACGTGACCCGGTATTTCGAGGTGATATGGCTGCAGGCGTACTGATCTATTATTACATTGCTAATATAATAACGAACTGTTGATTTATATTTCTGAGATGAGGTATTGTAACTATTTATATTATTTATATCATCCGGGCTGTTGTCCTCATCTTTATTGCCATATCCACAACGTTTCAACCGTTGTACGCTCCGGCCATGGTACCCCCCACGTAGACTAAATAAAGCGTTCAGCTGGAAATTTGAACATATATCACCTGAAGAATGTCGGGGCGTACAACGGCCGAAACGTCGTGAATATGGCAATAATGACGAGGACAATAGACCGGACAATGGAAATAGTGTAAAGTGTTTTTTACACTGTATATATTTGGGCTATCGTTCTCATCTTTGTTGTTGTTATGACAGCGTTTTGACCATTCTCAGGTGGATATCGATCTGGGTAACCTACAGGAAGTTCTGAACTGAACCATTTATTTAATCTCCTGGGGTAGACTGCTTTCATTCCACTGCTCATGTCCAGGAATATTATCTATTTCTTATTTTTATTTATTACTGTTCTGTTATTGCTATTGGACAAGGAAGGATACTGGACAGTTAAACGTATAAACGAATCAGCACATATGCTAGGCTATGGAGAACCCCTTAATAGAACAAGCATTGAAATAAATACAATATTGGAGCCGCTAACAAAGAAAGAAAGATAAATCATAGAAAAGGGGCTATTAGAAAAATGATTAGCAAAAAATTCACAGTTTAGGTGGAGACGTTAGAAGTATAAAGTTGATGTAGAATTTAGAATGAACCGGAAACGCAGTCCTAAACAGAAAACAAGGAATAAACCTCTAATCTTTAAAAAAAAACAAAAAACAAAAAAAACAACGGAAATGAGTGTGAATTAGACAATAAGTAAACCTATCTATTCTTATTTAAAAAAAATAAATAAACATAAAAAAACATAAAACTGCGGAAACGCAGTCCTAAACAGAAAACAAGGAATAAACCTCTAATCTTTGAAAAAAAAAAAAATCTAATTTAAAAAATAAATAAACATAAAAAAACATAAAACTGCGGAAACGCAGTCCTAAACAGAAAACAAGGAATAAACCTCTAATCTTTAAAAAAAAAAAAAAAAAAACGAGAATGAGTGTGAATTAGACAATAAGTAAACCTATCTATTCTTATTTAAAAAAATAAATAAACATAAAAAAAACATAAAAATAAATAATTAAATAGTAAAACGGTCAGAGTTTAGGCGGAGATGTTAAAAGTATAGAGTTGAAGTCGAGTGAAGAAGATTCTTTCATAGATTTGAAAGAGTGTCTCGGCTCTTCCCCCAGACATGGGTTAAATAAGCCGTCAATTTTGATGGAATGTTGAAAATAGTATCTCGTATTTAGATGCGAAGTTAAAATTGAAAAAGTATCATATCAATTTCTTCTATGTTACATTGTTGGGATCCCTCTACCTAGGTTTTTTGTCGGTATCTGACTGTCGAAATTCCAAACATTTAACGACAACACATCTTTTAAATAAAACAGAAAAAGGTTATTTTCTGGAGGAAAATCAGAAACAGAACCTCCCTTGAAATAACATTTATATATTATTTTCAGAAATATCCAATAGCCATCAAGATATTCAATTTTCCTTGCGGTGAAGTTTGTTTTATAACGTATTTAAGCGCTCGTAGAGACGCGTCATATGTGTGAACAGATGTACTTTATGACGGTCCGCCTGGTGTGTTTGTGAATTCGTAAACAAAGGCTCAGCTTGCTGGTTAATCCCTTCTATTGTATTCGTGGACAAGGCCTTAGTCGGCGGTTGCTGGCTGTCTCTCTTCCATTGTATGCGCGCGTGTGTGTACGCACTTGTAGATCAAACTTGCCTCCCAAATTTTTTTTTAACCCCGAAAAGTATGCTTCTATTTTTATAGCAGTAAAGGTATTCAAAATTTAATTTTACATAGCTGCCTTTTTTAATAGAATGTTTTCATTGGTTAGAAAATAATTTCACACTGTCTTGCGAAAATTTTTTCTCGAATTTCCGGAAATGATGAAGGTAGTTATTATTATTTTCTAAATGGTCCAGAAATAACACGTGGTAGGTCTGCAATTTAGTCTTCATGTATTTGGGCGGGATTTGCCCTAGTAATGATTGATTATCCAACAAAACTTTTGACGGAATTATACTGGTTGAAAAATACAGAGAGAATTTAATTGCTATAACATATTTAACGGAATCATTGCTTGTTTGTTTTTCGTTTTTTTTTTTTTAATTCGGCCATTAGAAACTTTTATTACACATTTCCCTGCTGTCATAAATCCTAAATATTTATTTAATCGGCGAGCTTTAGTGTACGCCCATAAAAGGGTGTTTGTTTACGGAATAAATAAGCAATGTTTACCTATATACATTATTCGGACTATTGTCCTCATTTTTGTCGCCATATTTATTACAACGTTTCGGCGGTTGTGGGCTCCGGCCTTCTTTAGGTGGTTGGAATGTCGAACTGAACCCTTTATTTCGCTCACTGGGGTAGACTGAAAGAAGAAGGGAACGTACACCGGCCGAAACGTTGTGATAAATACGGCAACAAAGATGAGGACAATAGTCCGAATAATATAAATAAAGTACATAATACCTCATCTCAGAAATATAGACAGTTCACACATATGTTTATCAATTAGAAAAGTAAAATAATAAACAATAATTACCTATAGAATCACGTATAAATTCGTTTAACTTTTGCCTATAGTCTCAAGTATAATAAGGACCAGTGTTTACCTATAGACACATGTATAAGTTTTACATATAAGCTCAAGTATGAGCCTGACTAATGCTTGTCTATTGACATAAGCATTATCACGAGAAATGTTTAACTATAGACAAGTATATGCATGGCCTCTGTCTAGTTATATACTAATGTGTAATGACGCGACAATAGTACCAATAGATTTAATTTAAACACAATGAACGCTTACGTAGAGATTTAAGTATGAAAGTGACTAATGTTTACCTATACTCTCAAGTATAAACACGATTATTATTTACCTAATAGCTGAATTATAATCACGACGTATGCTTAGCTACAAACTCGAGTATAAGCACAAGTAACCTTTTCCTAGACTCTAAAGTGTGAAAGCTCTAGACTTAAATATAAGACCAATCTATTTTTACCTCTAGAGTTAAATAGGAAAATGAAATCTTCCCCTCTAGACATTCAAGAACAAAATACGAACAATAGAGTCAAGGATATTCAAAGAAAAAGAAACATATGTTGACAATATATTGACAATATATGTTGACAATATATTGACAATATATAGCAACACAAGGGTTGATATGTCGTAAAATACTTTTCTTTCAACACAGGTTCGATTTTATTTAGCCAATAAAGAGTATTGAATAAAGAATACCAAAATACGTAA